AAAGCGAGACGGCGAGAAGTTTCTCCTTATTGACCTTCCGCCCGCTTACTTTTTGCAAAAACGTCCTCGCTTGCGAAGAAACGCTCGTGCAGCGCTATTATTCAAGGATGGGGGAAGGGGGGGTGGAGGCGCTGCTCAAAGGTCACAAATTGCTTTGCGCGAGTAATTATACTTCAATATGCAGACAGTTTTCAGTTTCCCCCAGTATCCTGTGAGTGTCAATTATTTTACTCAAATTCTGCCTATCTAGAGCGAGAAAGCTTTATTTAATAATCTTTTAGCAAAAGTAAAATGAAAACAATTTGAAGCTGATAATTGACCAACTAAGAAGAGCTCAGAAAAACTCAAAGCATTACAGCGCGCCTTATCATTCCAGAGAGGCGCTTTCTTTTCAGACAACATAATCATGAAATCGTTGTTTATACTTCTATCACCTGATCACACCATATTGACCCTGAGACTTGCGACAGAAATATGTAATTTTTGATTGATCGAAAACAGTCGTAGGGAAATAATTCTAATTCTTCATCAGAAATGGTGCTGCTTTTGTAAGCAGATGTTCATCTTAGCCATAATTGAACTTGTTGATTTTAACTATATAGAAATAAGTGATGAAAATTGCTAAAAGTTGTATTTGGCGGGAACAACGCTTTCCTCGATCCATGCCCATCGTTGCAAAAAGCATAAACAAAAAAAAAACAAAAAAACAAAAACAGGAGTTACTGAAAGTTCCTATTGAAGAGATGCACGACAACAAGAGGGTCTCGATGGGCCTTAAAAACGCCGAAAAATTTAACCGTTAGGCGTAAAAATTAACAAAATTTTTTTTTTTTCTGGTGACCACAAGTGAAAGACATAAACTGTTTGCTGTAAATTGGTTAAAATTTAAACCGATATTCATCCTAACCCTGGTTATCAGGTGGAGGCCGATGATCCTGTCTCGAATGCAAGATCTGGCTCGAACTCTGAATCGAAATATAAATTCCCTTGCAAAGTCTGCGACAAGCCAGTCAAGAGCAATCAAAAGGGTATATTATGCGAAGAATGTTGTTATTGACATCACATTAAATGCATTGGAATGAGCCATATAATCTACAATTGATTGGCCTCTTCGGATGCTCCCTGATGCTGCTGTGATTGTGGCCTGTCAAATTTCTTTGACTCGTTCTTCGCCGAGTTAAGCTCACTGGAGACTACCGAGAATATTTTAGAGAACGATTCATGTGACGGATCCAATATTTCTGGTACACGGGAACGACAAAATAAGTATCCTAAAGGCCCGTTCAAACGCTCGCAACATTGTTGGCCAACAACACACAACATTGATGGGCCCAACATGTTGTGAGCGTTTGCACACCATGTTGCGTGTTGTTGCTTGTTGTTGCTTGTTGTTGGATGTTGTTGGATGAAGTTTGAAACTGGTCAAACTTCAGAGCCAACGAGTCCCAACATTTCTTTTGTTTCGCGGTCATCGAAGCGTGGCCCAACAATGTTGGGCACTACATGCCATGTATACATTGAGATTTCAAAAACTACGTGCGATCGAGAAATCCGAACATGGCGTTGGAGGTGGAAAACGTGGACGAGGCGTTAATCGAGGAATTAACAGCAACCAAAGGCAGAAAGAAAGCGGCTAGTGACGGAAAAGACAGAAAAAGAGCTAGAAGGTGGACGGAGCCGGAAATCGATCAACTGATCGATCTTCTTGAGGAAAAAGATTGCTTGTGGGATGTCAGCAAAAAGAATTACCACATGCGAAACAAACGCGAAAGAGCGTTCGAGAAGAGATGAGAGACATTCTGGACATTGAGGTTGCAGACATCAAGGCGAAGATAACTAGTTTGCGTGCACAATATGGCCGAGAGGTCGGGAAAACAAAGGCAAAAAAATATGGCCAAGGACTAGGCGAGAACTACAATTCCTGTTGGATTTATTTCGACAGGCTACAGTTTCTTGTACCAATTATGCAAGCTGGAAAAAGCAAAGATTCGTTGTCGAGCCGAAGCTCGACACCCGACTCTATCACACCGGAAAAACTTGATTCGCCCGACGATTCTCCTCCATATCAAGATGTTGAGACTCCTAGAGTGGAAAAATCACGAAGAGAGGGGTTTTGAAACGGAATCAAAAGCCAGAGAGGAACTACTGTCGACGTGCGTTCAGGTTCTGAAACAACCTTTACCTGAGCCTGAACCCAAACGTCAGTGCTCCTTCTCACTTTACATTTCGGAAAAGTTGGCTTCTTTTGATAGAATAACAAGGATGATTGCTGAAAAGCGAATAAGCTACATAATATTTGAGATTGAAATGAGCAAGCATTGCGGCAAAACTAGAATTCTGATTATATGACACAAAGTACAGGAGGATACACGAACATGCTGCACAACAGCCAGCAAATGTACAGATGACATCAGTTTATACGAGTTAGAAGAGCAAATTTATGAACACATCAAAAACAATGAAAAGTTTTGTTATGAATTTATCTGATGATTCACACCAAGTCAAGTACATTAACATTGTTAATATTATGAATGCATGTGTATATATGCAACAGTTACTGTTAAATGA